GCACACCTTTAATCCCAGCACTTGGGAGGCAGAGCCAGGCGGATCTCTGTGAGTTCGAGGCCAGCCTGGGCTACCAAGTGAGCTCCAGGAAAGGCATAAAGCTATGCAGAGAAACCCTGTCTCGAAACACCAAAAAAAAAAAAAAAAAAAAAAAACCCTGAGTTTCATCTTATAAATCTAAGATAGAAGGAGAACCAACTCCTGAAAACTGGTTGTCTTGCATGGGTGTGTTAGCATTCACACATTACTAATATACAAATACAACAACAACAATAATAAATCAAATTTATGGACCAACAAAATAGCATAGTGGGTAAAGGTACGTGCCACCAAGCCTGACAAGTTGAGTCTCATCCCTCACACCTACAAAACCAAGTGCACACGTTTTCCTCTGACCTCCACACTTATGCCATGACACATCTGTGCCCATACAAATACATACACACAAATAAATAAATAAGTATATAAATTTAAAACCAACTAGCTTAATCAATTTCCTTGTAATATTTGATTCATACTATCTTTTCATAAAACTTATGACAAAGTATTATTATTGAAATATAAAATGCATTCAATTTTGACTAAGGCTCTTACCATCGTTTTTCCAACTTGATAATTATCAGGATTAATATTTACTTTCCTGAAGAAATCTTGAATGTTAAATTTAGATGGGATAATATTTCGGGGAAGAAGTACATGAAAGTGACTCACAAAATCCTGAAAAGTAAAAAGAAAATGGTAACAAATCACAAAGGAACTAGGTGAATATTATACCCTAAACTCTCTTTTATTAATGGGTTTCTCAGTCTTTTAATACATAAGAAGAAAATTTTACTTAAAGCAAGGCACTGGAAAAGATCAGAATACACTGCAAGAGGGCGGTAGGCCACATGAGTGAAGCTACTCCAGGACCTGTTCCTCATTCCTTTAAAAGTAGAAGCGGCAAACTGGCAGGGGTAGAAGAGTGACGAGAGAGTGGGTACGAGAGAACCAGAGTTTATTGCAGCCGTGTAGGAAGAGTCAAAGAACACAACTTACTAATAAAAACTTATTAATCAAAAAGATGAACAAAAGAGTTTGTTACTTTAAAAATATTATAAATAGGAGGTCCAGGAGAGATGGCTCACTGACTAAGGGTCTGGGTTAGAATCCAAGTGTCCACATGCCTGCTAACAACCACCTGTAACTCATTCAGGGGAATACAACATCTGATTCTGGCCTCCAAAGACACTGCATTCAAAAGGTACACTGATGTACATTCAGGCAAAACACCCATAAACATAAGATAAAAATAAAATGATCTTTTAAAAATACAGTTTTAAAAACAGAGTAAGAGGAAAGATACTAAGTCTGAAACATCATATTATCAAATGAAAACTGAATTAAAGAAAAAAGGGTAA